AAAAAAAAAAAAAAAAAGAACTTCAAAAAACAAAAAAAAAAAACAATGCAGTTCTTCTGATTGAGTCACTGAAGGCTTGTTTTACTTGCTTGTTTCTCAAGGTGTAAATGAAGGGGTTCAGCATAGGAGCTATGGAAGTCGTGAGGACCGCCACACCCTTATTTGTAGCTGCTGCTTCCTTTGCTGAAGGTTTAACATACACGAAAATACAGCTTCCATAGGTGATGGAGACCACAATCATGTGGGAAGAACAGGTAGAAAATGCCTTCTTTCTTTGCTGGGCAGAAGGGAATCGTAGAATGGTCTTGATGATGTACATATAGGATAGAACTACACATACAAGGGTCATGATAAAGGTGAACACAGCACAGACTATGACCAACTGCTCTACGAACCAGGTTTCTGAGCATGAGATCTTTCGGAGGGGGTATGCATCACAGAAAAAATAGTCAATAACATTAGAGTCACAGAATTCCAGATTTATGCCCAAGCTAAGTGGAGGGAGTATGATGAATAAGCCTGCTGTCCAGCACCAGAGGATGAGTCTTCTACAGACCCTGCTGTTCATGATGGTCATGTAATGCAGGGGTTTGCAGATGGCTACATATCGGTCATAGGACATGGCGGCCAAGAGAAAAAATTCTGTTACACCAAGAAGATCAGTAAAAAAAATTTGAATGATACAATTGTCATATGTGATTGTCTTGTTACCTGTTGATATGTTGTACAAATATTTGGGAACACAGGCAGATGTAAATGAGATTTCTAAGAAGGAGAAATTTTGTAGGAAAAAGTACATGGCAGTTTTAAGGTGAGAATCTATGAAGGTGAGGGAGATGATTGTCAAGTTCCCAGTTACACTCAGCACATAGGTGACAAATAGAAAGATAAAAACCACAATCTTCAGCTGTGTATCGTCAGTCAGTCCCAGCAGGATAAAAGTTGTTATTGTGTGGTTTCTCATCACTGAGTCCTGACTTCTACTCAATCTGCATTTAAAATTCAGAGATATTTGATGCCCATAGAGTGGTAATTAATAGAGGGAAAAATGCAAAGAAACTTATTCATTTAAATAAATTTATTTACAAGTATTATGAATACACTGGTATTCTAGGTTCCACAGTTGTGTATTTTTGGTCATATCAGGGGAGATTTTAAAAAATTATAATTGCTGGGCCGGCCCCGTGGCTTAGTGGTTAAGTGCGTGCACGCCGCTGCTGGCGGCCGGGGTTCAGATCCCGGGCGCGCACCAACGAACTGCTTCTCCGGCCATGCTGAGGCCGCGTCCCACATACAGCAACTAGAAGGATGTACAGCTATGACATATAACTATCTACTGGGGCTTTGGGGAAAGCAAAAGGAGGAGGATTGGCAATAGATGTTAGCTCAGAGCCGGTCTTCCTCAGCAAAAAGAGGAGGATTAGCACGGATGTTAGCTCAGGGCTTATCTTCCTCATAAAACAAAAAAGATAAAAAAAAATTATAATTGCTTTATCTATGCCATACTCCAAAATATTATAGGTGCTTCCTTCTCATCACATTTTATTCCCAACTTATATTTTATTTTATCTGCACCTTGGATTTGATTTTCCTTTACAGTTAGGTTTGACTGCTAATGTTTTGTGAGTTTAAGAGTTCTTTCCTGTTGACAGACTGAATCCTAAAGCTGAATCCTAAAGTTCAGTATCACCTTCATGTGTTTCCTTGAAGTTTTGTTATTGATAAAGTAGAAATATATTACAAATAGTTTAGGGCTCATTATATAGGCTCTCCACATTCATTACCAAAGATATTGAGCTCTAAATATAATTTTAAAAATTTGTGTTTTCTTTAAGTAACTTCTTCCTTACTCACTCAGTCTCCTGATTCTCTCTTAATTTTCTGTTTAAAATTATACTCAATTCCTACTGTGGTACAGAAGATGGGAAGCGTTTTGATATCAACTTTATTGTATAGAATGATAGTACGTGTTGAGCATCAAATACATAGGGATGTAAAAAAGCATTACAATTTTTCCTAGTTTTAAATCTGTTTGGTTAAGGTTGAAACACATCCAAACTATTGTTATTAATATCACTAACTACAAAAAATATCAGATTAAACTATTAAACTCATTCTTTAAGCATGGCTTCCCTTTACTGTGACTCAGTTTTGTCATCTATTAAATGGAAATAATAATATTATCCTTCATTTGTTGAAAAATTAAATAAGTTAATGTATAAAGTACTTATAAAAGTGCCTGTGTGATAACCAGTAATAAATATATTTTAACTATTTCAATTACTTTGTCTATAATGATTTTCCTTTTAGTTATCACACATTCAATCATCAATATATTGTAATCATGTTTGTCCCCATGAATCTAATGAAACAATTTATGCCAAAGTTTATCAGACACTTCCTTTTTGCTGTTAAAGTTTAGGAAATTTCTAAGTAGAATGTGTACTTTTAACCATACAATATTCATAGCATTCTCTCATAACTTACCTTAATACCACATACATCTTTTACCTGCCGTCTTTTGGCTTTCTTATTTCTAGACACTTCTTTCTTTGCAAGTCTCTCTTATGTTCATAGTTCTTAGTACTTTGCTTCTTTTTTTTTTGAATTTTTTTTATCGAATAAATTTGACATGTAACATTGAGTGGGTTTAAAGCGTACAGTGTGTTACTTTGATACATATATATACCGTAATATTATTGCCAATTTAGTGATATTTATCACATGACATAATTACAGTACAATCTTATTGTCTCTATTCATTACACTGTACATTATGTCTCTATGGCTTATTTACTACTCATTACCAGTTTTCACCGTTAAATTTTCTGTCTTAACATATACACTCTCTTTGGGTATTTTCCTGAGCTCCTAATCTCCAAAAATGATTGTTCTTCAGTCATATGTATAACCAAATGCACTCCAAACACAAAAGTTCAAAATTAGACTCTTTATTTTCCACACTCTCATCCTATTTCTCCCTGTGTGGTTTTTTTTGTTTGCTTGTTTTTTTGTGAGGAAGATTAGCCCTGAGCTATCATCCGATGCCAATCCTCCTCTCTTTGCTGAGGAATCTTGGCCCTGGGCTAACATCCTGGCCCATCTTCCTCTACTTTATATGGAACACCGCCACAGCATGGCCTGATAAGCAGTGTGTCCCTGCGCGCCCGGATCAAGACCTCCGAACCCTGGGCCACCAAAGCAGAGCGCGAGCACTTAATTGCTATGCCACCAGGCCTGCCCCTCTCCCTCTGTGTTTTTTATAATCAAACTAGTATTTTTACTGAATCTTTCCTATATGCTAGATATTGAAATAAACACTTTACATGGATTATCAATTCCCCGTTCCATCTCTGTCATCAGTCTCCATTTTTGCTGGGAATCCACGTACTTAGCCATTGGTTTTTGGTTTTTAGTTCCCATGAATTTGTATGTGGAAGGTGTATCACTACATCATGGCATTAAAACTATGCTATTTTTAGATGACCTCTTATTTATCCTTGCTTAAAATAACCTTCTCAATAACTCCACGCTATCCAAGATTAAAGCAATCAATACGATGTGTAATTAATACCCACATTAGGACTTCCATTGCTAAATTTTATACAGTCAGGAGAGATTCATTTACTAGAGGCAAATATGACCCAAGTTTCAAAAAACAAAATGTAACTGAAATGACAGATTTTATAATACTTACACTCTGGCGGTTAATCTTAGCCTCTCTCTATTAGTTGTTTACAACTATTCTTATAGCTACCACTTGAAAATGGATATGATGTAGAAAACTAGTTTGAGAATTTCTGGCCACTACTGATTGAATCTGGTGAGTCCCATAGTAACAGCAGCTCAGGAATACATAATTTCCTTGAGATTTTTATCTTCAATCACTTGCATCAACTTTTCAATAGATGTAGTGCTATCACAAGCCTAGAAATAATTTTTTTTTTTAATTTTTAATTATTGAAAAGAAGAGCAGGATCATAGGAACTTCTAATAGCTTTGGAAGAGTTGATGTTCTGAGTTATTCTGCTCAGAGAGAGGATTTTCCAATTTCAAGCTTGATTTTATTTTATGTGCCAAATCTGCAACAAAAATAAACAAAAAGTCCTTGGTGACTCAGGTTCAAAAATTGCTAATGAATCATCTGTGCAGTCATCTTCGATCTTCTGACCTTTGGGTAAAAAACAAACAAAGCTAACACAGTAACAGTGGGACCATGGTCTTTAGAGACAGGGAAAGCAACAGAATCAGGAAAGAGACTGGTAGGACATCATTGACCCTAAGTAAAAACAAAACATAGTTCAGCTTCTTTTAACTAAAAATTATCATGTAAGGCAGTCAAAAGATGATAGATCTCCCTCTCTGCCTTTGATTGGATATGCAACAACAAAAAATTTAAGTGAAGAAAAAGACTTAAAATAGAGATGACAAAAGATAATATTTTGGGCTTAGCCTTCCATACTTTTCCTCCTGCAAATATATTCATGTATGTCACATGGAATAATTACAAATGCATGAACATCAAATGAAAAATACTTTTACATTGGGATATACAGCTCGTCACAGCCATTCTGCTCCTTGATATGTGTGAACCTACTTATATCTCAATAATTAGTCATATGCATCATTTTAAATCTATTTAATTTCAGTCTATTGTATTCATGTAATCCTCAGAGATTTAACCAAAATTTATCAACATTGTAAATGTATGCTGTTTCCAAAGTTTCACCTTTTAAAATATCACTCTATGAATAATTACAGTTTCCATGTATCTTAAATCAGTTAGCTTCTTTTGTATTTCTTACATTTATAAATTTACAAGAAGAATCCTTGTGAAAATATTTTTTATACATTATCAGAATAATTGCTGGAAGTGAAATTTCTTTAAAATATTGATATTCATATTTACAACTATGATGTACTAGTATTATTATGAATAATAATTAATATGTTCCTTCAAGTCAAGTGTATAAGAGTGTCTCTGTGCATATACTCAAGTCAAGAATATGTATCTTCTTTTCCTTTAAATAATTATTATTTTCATTTATTCTTGGACTAATATGGGTCAAGTCTGTTGTAGATTTATCAAAGTAAAATTTACATACAAGTGGACTCTTTTTTTAATATTTCAGTTGAAGAATTTTTACAAATATCTATAGCTCCCTAATCATTACCACCACTGTGAAGATAATCCCTTCTTAGCAATGCCCTCTATTCCCAGGCAACCAGTGATCTGCTTTCTGTCATTTTAGATTAGATTTGATTTGTCTTTTTCTTGTGTTTCATCTGAATGTCTTCATACATCACATTCTTCCCTTATAACTTTTTTTATATTCATCTTTACTATTGCATATACCAGTAGTTCATTTGTGTTACTGAGAAATATTCCACGGTTTAGACATATCACAATTTTGTTTCTTTATTCAACAATAGGTGGAAATTTTGAATATCTCTTGGTTTTGGTTATTGGGAATAAAGTGATTATAAACATTCACCTACAAGCTTTTGCATAGACATATGTTTTAATTTCTCTCAGTTAAATATTTAGGTCTCAGTTGTTGGATCAAGTGCAAGTTTATGTATGAGAGACACAGAGTTTCAAAGTGGTTGTAATATTTTAATTTCTCAACAACAATGTATGAAATTTCCAGTTTGCTCTAAATCATCACTAACACTTGGCATTCTCAGCGTGTTTATTTTTAATTAAAATTGTTTTTATTGAGATATAATTGATATATGTCATTATATTAGTTGCAGGTGTACACTGTAATGATTTGATATTTGTATATATTGCAAAACGATCACCACAATAAGTCTAATTAACACACATCACCACACAGTTACAAATTTTTTTCTTGTGACGAGAACTTTTGAGATCTACTCTTTTAGCAACTTTCAAATATACCATACAGTATTATTAACTACAGTCACCATGCTGTAAATTACATCCCCATGACTTATTTA